CACACACACACACACACACACACAGCGTGAAAAAGTTCAGAGGTATGCCACTAGACTAGTCCCAGAACTAAGAGGCATGAGTTACGAGGAAAGGCTGTGGGAAATGCACCTCACGACACTGCAAGACAGAAGAGTAAGGGGAGACATCATCATTACCTACAAAATTCTCAGAGGAATTGACAGGGTAGACAAAGATAAACTGTTTAACACTGGTGGTACGCGAACAATGGGACACAGGTGGAAACTGAGTACCCAAATGAGCCACAGGGACGTTAGAAAGAACTTTTTCAGTGTCAGAGTAGTTAACAAATGGAATGCATTAGGCAGTGATGTGGTGGAGGCTGACTCCATACACAGTTTCAAATGTAGATATGATAGAGCCCAGTAGGTTCAGGAACCTGTACTCCAGTTGATTGACAGTTGAGAGGCGGGACCAAAGAGCCAGAGCTCAACCCCCCCGCAAGCACAACTAGGTGAGTACACACATGTTGGCAGTTGACGAGGACTGCAGTACACCCACAGGGAACTAGACCAAGAATGTGACCACAGGAACACACCCACAGGGAGCCTCCACAACTACCAAGAATGTGACCACAGAAGTGCACCGACAGAAGGCTGTGGATGTGTACTGGATCACAGCGTACCTTCTCCCCACTCTTCAAGACCTAACGAGATGGTTCACAATCCCAAAGACACATTGAAGTTGCTGTTACATTACACGCTGTGCAAAAGGCATCACCTTTACGTTTTCCCCTAGCACTAAACTATCAGTTTAACGCGTCACCGAGTCCTTTGTGATGCTTGGCTGACCACACAGGTAAGTTGAGGCTGGCGTAACGCGAGGCTGGCGTAACGCCAGGCTGGCGTAACACGAGGCAGACGTATCACCAGCGTAGTTCCGTGGTGTTTGCTGGAGGGACTGATGCCGGATGGTGCAGTCTTGGACAAGAGAGGTCACTGAGAGGCGGACCTACTCGGTGAACGCGTGAGAGTCCACAGCCATCTACCGCAGACCGCAGCCTCTCAATCACAGACACCTAATCACAGACAACAAGGTAAACGGGCCGCAGAGTTCCTCGCCTGGTCACCCAGTTGACGAAGCCTTAATTGCTGCTGAGTAGAGAGCAGCTTGTATCAACACTATGGCCAGTAGGCTACCTTGACAAGAGGTCGAGCGCTCTTGAATTATGCGAGGCTTGAGGGAGAAAAATTCTGTCGAGAATGATAGTTTCGTCCAAACACCAGACCTGAGAGCACAAATCCATGACCTTGACCAATCGGTAGGGTACCTTTAACCTTTCTAGCAGTGCCACGGGTAGGCACACTACCACTTGTGCTTCGAAATAGTGCCATACAAACCATTCCCATAACTATCGGTTAGGACGCATGGCCACCTCACTCGGTAGGCTTAGAGCCACGTGATGTATGTAGCGATTTAGACCTGGGGCCAAGTACCGGAACCCGTTGGGTTAATCAACGACAGGTGTGTATATATATGTCGTACCTAGTAGCCAGAACGCACTTCTCAGCCTACTATGCAAGGCCCGATTTGCCTAATAAGCCAAGTTTTCATGAATTAATGTTTTTTCGACTACCTAACCTAACTTTTTCAGCTACCTAACCGAACCTAACCTATAAAGATAGGTTAGGTTAGGTTAGGTAGGGTTGGTTAGGTTCGGTCATATATCTACGTTAATTTTAACTACAATAAAAAAAAATTTACCTCGTACATAATGAAATGGGTAGCTTTATCATTTCATAAGACAAAAATTAGAGAAAATATATTAATTCAGGAAAACTTGGCTTATTAGGCAAATCGGGCCTTGCATAGTAGGCCGAGAAGTGCGTTCTGGCTACTAGGTACGACATTATATATATATATATATATATATATATATATATATATATATATATATATATATATATATATATATATATATATAAGCACCAATATAGAAGCATCAAGAAATATGGGCCAATAGGCCCTTTGCAGTTACTTCCATTCTTCCCTTTAGTACATATATATATATATATATATATATATATATATATATATATATATATTTTCTCACACACACACACATTAGCTAGCAAAAAAACATTATTTTGAATTTTGTTTAACATATCTTCTTATTGTGTTACAACTTGTAAAAAACCAAATACTAAATTTCACTGAAATTTAGATCATGTTATATATTCAGGACTTCCACATCACCCAAGAGGTAAACAGTTCTGTGAGCGTAGCAGAATGATCTTAGTATCTGATAAACGTCTCAACACTTGCTATTCTGTTATTTAACAAGGCTAAAAGAAGAAAAAAGTTTTTTCTTTATAGAAATTTCAATCGTATGGCGGCAGAACTAAATATGACCTAATTTTCCTGAAATTTTGTGTGTGTGGGATTATTAACTTCCAACAATGAAATGGAATGCATCGTATTAACATAAAAATCCATTTTTTTGGTAGAAATTTCAATTTTTTTTATCTTTATTTAAGAAAATACAATATAAATCATATATACATAAGTTTTACTTCAATTGGCCAATTACCAGGGGAAGGCTGGCTACGGGCCGTGCTGTGGGAGTAGTAGAACTCTCGAAATCGTCACAGGTAATCAAGAAGTAACCAGATACTAGATGGATAGTACACAACGAAGGAAATCTACCCCTTTGTAACGAGCAGAGAAAGAACTGGGAGTGGATATCACACCAAGCCTAACTCCGGAAGCTAACATATAACCAAGATATCATCAGCGGCATACACTACACTGGTAAACGTCAGATCATTCAGGAACGTATATACGGAGTTCACATCACTGTACACCGCCTGTGTTTGAGATCAGTTCAAGAATATGCCACCCCAGCGTGGAGCCCATCTAAAAGATAAACTTACTTAAAAAGGTACAGAGGTTAACAACGAGGGCTCGTCCAACAATTGCGAAGGATCTACGGTACATGGGCACTGTACGGTACATGGGCACTGTACGGTACAGGGGCACTATATGGTACATGGGCACTATAAAATACACGAGTACTGTTAGGACACACATTAAACGGATTCCAATAAAACTGCAACGCCCCAAATGTGTTCACTCAGAACTCCTGGGTGTATAACTTTGACACACATTCCTGCATTCTTCAGAGCACCGTGAAAACAGATGACGCAAGAAATAGTAACTTTCAACATAGGTTCCTTTAAACATCTAAACCCGATTCTTAGGCTGCCTAACATTCGTGACCAAGAACATCCAGTTGATTTTCGCATTTGGGGAAACGTGTGTGAATGGATAGAACACCATTGATTGATTGAGGAAGATTAAGCCACCCATGAGGTGGCACGGGCTTGAATAGCCCGTAATGGGAGAATAGGCTACAGTGAACAAATCCTCAGGGATATCAACTCGTGTAGGATGAATTATCCCAGAACCTGTTGCACAGTGAGATATATATATATATATATATATATATATATATATATATATATATATATATATATATATATATATATATATATATATATATATATATATATAAACTCGACCAAGATTATGGTAAGGTAGTAGAGATGAATGGAAAATATATTGATGTTTCTGTTATGATTATGATAACATGTGTTAATGAGAAATGTAAATTATAACTATGTTAACACAATTTATTAGTTATTGAAGTGAAATCTAGACTTGTGCAATTTTGTACCTAGTCCCCATATTCTAAATAATAATAATTATAATATCCACGATTCCTTCCCGGAATCTGAGAAGATCAAAAGAGATTCACAACCTTTAACCTTTAGTTGTAATCACCTTATAGCAACTTTTAAAAATGTTAAATAAAGCTACCAAAATATAAAAAGATGAGGGGAGGTAGAACAAAAAAAAAACATATATGAACCTGCATTGGTGGAGACTTACTGTTTTTCCTGCCCTGTTTTCAGAGATTATGGCTCCATATTTCTGTGCACATTATGTATATATAATATATACTCACACACACATGGGGAACCTTAGCCTCGGAAAACAAAAATTCCCATCCATCAGCATAGGCTAGTTGTATATTCCCGGCCAACATTAATGTGTCATCAACTGTTAGCCTAATTACATCACGTATCTCTATGTATACCGGTTCAAGTATTCGGTTAAAGGTATGCATAACGTACCAATATCATGTAACTATCGCGTTAATCCAGTTCTTAAACTTAAAACGTTGTGTGTGTGTATCATAGGTTGACCGAAATATTTCAATGCGTGAACGAAGTGATCTATTCGATCCTGGACACACAAACGCGCGTGCAAAAACATACATAAATTCGCGTGAAGCGCCGCTGGAATTCACCTGTTTACTAATGGGTCAGGTTGTTTGTTGCTTTCAATGGTGGCCACGACCTGTCTGTCACCTGTTGCCTGACGCAGGTGACGCCGCCCCCTCCTCTTCCCCCCCTCGTACCTGTTACCTTAAGCAGGTGACGGCCCCCGTACCTGCTGTCTGACGCAGGTGACGGCTTCCGAAGCTTATTTCATACACGAAGCTGGCTTCAAATTCTTAACACGTTAAAACATTTCCTGCTCTACTGAAGTATATATACATCGTCACACTAAGCCACCGGAAGGGAGTCAAGTTCTATACAATTTGCATACGGCATTGTTGAGTACTTGCGTGAGAGACGTACCGCAAACGTTGGCCGCAAATCACTATACGGTCCTCCTGTGTACACCAACCAAACCATCGCCCACTACAGGCTCATATTCCGATGAAAATCACACTATTAGAAGCACATCACTATTGACCAATCATCTCGCCAGAAGTCACAGTCCCACTGCGACCGTAATATATATATATGTTATCCACTGAAGACTTGTACTGTATACCACACCGTTGGAGAACTCGACACACACTACCACATGTAACACACACAACACAACACACAAAACACCACACACCAACTATCGACTCTGCGGCCCCTCTCGTCAATCTTACAATTTTTCTGTCTCCCGCATCACTCACTTCTGACTGTCTTCATCGCCTCCCGGCAGGGTGTAACCACTTGTTGTGTTTACGAGGCTCCTCTCCAGGAGTTAGGAAGTGGAGGAGGAGGAGGAAGGAACGCGTGTCAGTACAAAACATTGGCGAGGGGTTGCCCTTACCTCGCCCACCCTCCCTCCTCCACACTACCTGTTCACCCGCTTACAGTTACCACCTCACCCACCATACCTCTCTCTCTCTCTCATTTCTCACACTCCACTCCTGCCTCGATGCATTATATAACCAGATATTTATATATATATATCAATGAAATATTCTTGCGAGATCAGGGGATTTCACTGTCGCGCAAAACCGCGTTAAAGGCTCTAGAATATTAGGTTTAATATGGCAGCCGGCACTCGGCCCGTGGAGCCACATACATTGCAACTGGGCGAGCTCATAAACGTGTGGCATTCCTCAAGGTTCCCGCCTCATGCCCTCTCTCTTCACCTCCACCCACTGACCTTTCGTAAGCTTCATTTATCCACCGATAACTTATCATGCCCGCAAGAAACAGAACACACGTGCAATGCGCTTGAAATTTCAATGTCATATCCAGCGACATGGTAACTCGGTTGAGAGATGAACCACCAAATTTGTTATTTTTCACATTTCTTCGGTCGTTTTAAAGCTGGCAACTCGAATAACTGTAATAGTTCTCGTTTTCTTTAATAATCCGTCGAAAAAGTAACATAGACTCAACTTTTACTCAATGAATAGGAAATTCCCTAACTATAATCAGGTTGTTCATTGTGAATTATCTCAATGCCGGAAATGCTGCGCGTATTAGTGGCTTTAGGCATAGTACTTGCCTGACCTAGACATCCAACAGTCTTCTTATATCTTATTGTGTACGTATGTACTTTTGCCTAAATATACATTATTATCATTATTACTATTATTATTATAATTAACATATGCAACTAACTTAATTTAACAAGAGATGCGACACAATGCTATTCATACAAGCAATTACATGTAACACTGGCGCTTTGTGACAGAAAACATGTACTGTATAGTTCATGTACATATGTACAGTATGTATATAACTATACATAGGGGTAAACATACATAGTATTTATGACTCCTGCCTCGCATCCGAAGAGCTCGAGGGTCTTATTGCTTGTAAAGAATAATTCTACACTTTTCATATAACACCTCTTATCAATCTTATATAATAACCCGGTTATTACAGATGGGACAGAAATGGTTGGGTACGTTTCCTTTCACCTAATGCCCCTGTTCACCTAGCAGTAAATAGGTACGTGGGAGTTAGGGGACTGTTGTGGGATTGCATCCTGGGAAGGGTCAGTAGTTTCTTCTACCTTGGGGGGGGGGGGGCTCGATACCAACCTGATATCCTAATATATTATGGAAGAGTAAGGGAGTAGAGGGGAAAGAGTCAGAGGTAATAATTAACCTTAACAGGAAGGGGTAAATGGTGTGAAGGGAAGGGGGGAGGAGGTATGTGGTGCGGAAGGGGAGGGGAGGGGAGGGGGGGAGCATGAATAGCGGACAGTTTTGCACTAAACGATTGGAAGGCCATTACCCGACGTGATAATGGTCCTCGACGGGTCGAAACATCGTCGCTTCTTCATTTTCTGACGTGTGGTCTGGTCGTCATTCGCGGCGATGTGTACCAGTGCTGTCCGTCCTCTCAATTCACTACTCTGTAAAAATTGCAACCCGTTTTACCTGACCAGAAGCGTACGAACCCTAAGCAACCCACTTCACCTATGGAGTCCGATGTGTATGTATATATATAAAAAAGTCAATATTGCAGTGCTTTCATTTTTTTTTTTGCTAAATGCATTTTCAACAGACTGATCAATTCCGTAAAAAATGCGACATATTAGGTGGGATGACAGGTCCTCAAACGCTATTTAGCATAGTTCAAAGTTCGGAAAAGACGCTATGTACAACGTCCATCGTAACTACAATTATACGTTGAAACCGCTGTTAAATCGTAGTACAATTATTAAATATAAACGCAACAGCCACGTGAGTATAAAACACATATCACAGAAACACGGCTGAATGGGCCGGGAGGAGCCACAGGCAGACACACTTGTAACAGCCTAAGCTACTCTATCCCTTTATGATGTATTTTATTATCTCAATAAACGTACTTGAACCTGACAAGGCTACAATGCGATTAATATGTGTGTGTGTGTGTACTGTATTGGATTTGTGAGCCGCCTTGAGGGACCTTAAATTGACGAGGGTAGAAATAGCCTAACCTTAATCTATCCCTTTTCAGATGTTCTTTATTATCTCAATAAACTTACTTGAACTTGAACCTGACTTGGTCCACTCTCCGGCTATTCGTACCAACCGCTGACGTAATCCGACAGCATGACCTTGAATCACTGGACACGTTTATACTGTAAACGACGTTTAATAGAAGGTTTATGATTGTATGCAAATGAGGGAGGGTAGCCATTACAGGTGCTCAAATGTGTTTGGTTTGGTGTTGATAGGCCTTAATAAACCTCCAGAGGGTGATAGGCCTTAGTATTAATAAGCTTCCAGAGGATGATAGGCCTTAATAAGCCTCCAGAGGATGATAGGCCTTAATAAGCTTCCAGAGGATGATAGGCCTTAATAAGCCTCCAGAGGATGATAGGCCTTAATAAGCCTGCAGAGGTTGATAGGCTTTAATAAACCTCCAGAGGACGATAGACCTTTATAAACCTCCAGAGGTTGATAGGCCTTAATAAGCCTCCAGAGGATGATAGACCTTAATAAGCCTCCAGAGGATGATAGGCCTCACCCCCCACCACCAAACAAAATGAAGGGGGCTCCTGGCGGGCTGTTCAACACAAGATATTGAAACGGCGTGATTTCCATGAAGACTGACTAACACCCTTGCCATCATGCATCATACATTGACCTTCAACACGTCAATTGGAAGAGCTCAAAATTCAAGATGACTTCGTGACAGATTTTGTAAATTTGTTTAAAAACCATGAGTTGAAATAGGACAGTTTTTGTGTTAATGTACAGTAACAATAATAACAGAAAGAGTGCTAAGCCAGTATGACCATACAGTACTGGAAAGGGGATATAAGGACAAGGACCATCAGGGATCGAACGACAAACTTGCAAGATACAAGGCGGTCACTGTACCGACCAGTGTAAGAACAGGGACGGCTTTACAGTGAGTAAATAACACATTCGTGCATCTTGGGGTAAAATGTCATTCATAGGATAGGATAGGCCCCTATCCTAGGATAGGATAGACCCCTAGTCTATCCTATAAAATGTCATAGGATAGACCTCCGAGCCCGTGGACTCCCCAGGGCTGCGAGTTCTATCCCATTCAATAGCCTCAATAGTTTCTTAGACAATGATCATTTTCACAAAATATCCACATTGCTAACAGTGACTGTAAGTTCACTTCCTCCGACGTGCATCAAAACACGACCCTTGTGAGGCGGTGTTCACACATGGCGTCACAAAACACTCGTCTCAATGACCATTTTTCATGCGTTATCTTTGATTAGATTAAACGGACAAGGCTCTTTACCAGAAGGATTGAAGATTTTTTTTAGCCAGGCTGATTGTTAATACTATAAGGAAACAAATGTGTAACTTTAGTAACTGTGATTTAACTGCGCAGAATAAGTTGTTAAAACATTGGACATAAATTTACTAAAGCCTAGTAAATTTACGAGGCTTGAGTAAAACATTTTGCGGGCCAACCAGAGGCTTAGGGCCCGCGCACGAATATTCCTGCCCAAAAATGCTTATACATATAAATTGCAGCGCAGCAAACTTGTGTAATGTGCCAGCCGTTATTCAGTGAGTAAGTGTATAGATGGAAGTCGTGAAGGAGGTTAAGGTATAAGCGAGTGTATGACAGGAATTGACTAAGTAACTTCAGTAATGAAGTACTTATAGCAGAGAATAAGCGTGATATATGAGGAAGAATTCAAGGTGTGTCTGTGTGTTGTTGTCTGCGTCTGCAGGATCGAGCTCTTAGTTCTTGGGCCCCGCCTTTCTAACCATCGGTTGTCTAATGTGTTAAGTCCACCCAAAAAATTTGTCCATTATATCTACTACATCACTGTCTGTCCGTCTATCTGCTTTCTCTCTCTCTCTCTCTCTCTCTCTCTCTCTCTCTCTCTCTCTCTCTCTCTCTCTCTCTCTCTCTCTCTCTCTCTCTCTCTCTCTCTCTCTCTCTCTCTCTCTCTCTCTCTCTCTCTCTCTCTCTCTCTTTCCCCTCACACAAATTCATTCATTTCATTCAGAACCTTGCATAACACTTATGTCAGACCAATTCTGAAGTATGCAGCTTCAGCCTGGAGTCCATAAATAGTTAAACACATGACAAAATTCGAGAAGATTCAGAGGAATGCCACAATACTAGTTCTAGGACAGAGGCATGAACTACTAGGAAAGGCTACGTCTATCCAGCGGATGGACATAGCCTTTTCCGTCCATCCAGCGGATGGACGTAGCAGTGGAAAAGAATGACTGTCATGTTTCAGGAGGCCTACGTGTCATTAAGCTATTGCAGTTTTTCAGTTGTGTACGCTCTAAGAACAGCCAACAGTTCAACTTGCTAGGTAGATGCCCAATTATGAACTCTTGACATTCCTCACAATTGCGTTGCCGCGGGGGCTGGCGAACAGTGACACCACATCCGCCGCCCTCCCATTTAGCAGAGTTGAGAGAAATGTCATGTAGTGTATATTCCCCCATTATAACACGTGTATATTCTCCCATTATATCAATTGTATATTCCCTATTATAACAAGTGTATATTCTCCCATTATATCAATTGTATATTCCCTATTATAACAAGTGTATATTCTCCCATTATATCAATTGTATATTCCCTATTATAATAAGTGTATATTCTCCCATTATATCAATTGTATATTCCCTATTATAACAAGTGTATATTCTCCCATTATATCAATTGTATATTCCCTATTATAACAAGTGTATATTCTCCCATTATATCAATTGTATATTCCCTATTATAACAAGTGTATATTCTCCCATTATATCAATTGTATATTCCCTATTATAATAAGTGTATATTCTCCCATTATATCAATTGTATATTCCCTATTATAACAAGTGTATATTCTCCCATTATATCAATTGTATATTCCCTATTATAACAAGTGTATATTCTCCCATTATATCAATTGTATATTCCCTATTATAACAAGTGTATATTCTCCCATTATAT